TTTTTGATTTAACACAAAATGGAATGAATATTATCAACGTCATAAGTTTTTTACAAATCATTTAGTTGCTACGAGTTTGTTTATCATTAATTTATCACTTAACATTGTTGTCAATGCCGCAGTGATCGTTCAGCTTTCCATAGTATAAGATTTTGTGGAATGTTCACACGTTGAGTCAAGAGTTCAGTTTGCAAATTTGTCAATTGATCATTCGAAAGTTATTGAATTCTCTCTGAAGTATAATCAACGAATTTAAGACACTCTTAATCTCCTTACCAGTGACACGATAAAATTTATCAGTGCAATAGGCAGTTTGTTATAATAAAGAGTTCCTAATTTGTATAATATACATCTCATAATGTTCAGGCAAAAGAAGTTAAAAGAGATGAAAAGCAAAAAGTCTCTTCCTTTCAATGCGTCGCTGTTCAGTCAACGTCGCTATCGATCTCTGCCGAATCTTAGTGAGTTAGTTGAGGCGAGTAATCTAGATACAACTGACAATCTGGAATCTAATCTGGAAAACGATGTGCCTCTTATCGTTGATGACACTAACAAGGACCAATTTAAAATGAAACAGCAACAAGTCAAGAAAGATGGCAGAAGGTTTCTTTTTTAGCTGATCCGTTATTAATTTATAATTCAGTTGAATGCATCAAATTTAGCTTGATCTATAGATTAATACTGCTGGTGTGAAAACTTTGAGCTTAATGATATATTGGATATCAGAATGCTTCTGTGAAAAGGAGATTTCTCGAAATTTGTTTTACAAGCATTTTGCATTTGTGCAAACAAATACAGTGTGCCAGCCTTAAAATTTTGCAAAATTTTCAAAAAATTAAACCTTTATTGTATGCTTTACCGAGGTGCTGATAAAATTTTGTTGGTGCCTTCTTGAAACGTTGTGATAAAGTAAAATTTTCGTGGATCCTACCGAATGTGTTTTGTTCCCTGTTTGTCCCTCTCAAGCATCACTGTCTACATTCAGGCGTTTAACGCATTCTCGTTCGACCGTGGATAATCGAAGTCTAACGCCACCCCCGCATACAACGCGAAGAAAAAAGCAATTGTTGGATAGAGAACGACGCGACAGGAATGCTAAACTTTCCACAAAGAAAGCCAAACTAAATAAACTAAATAAAGATCAGGTAATCATTGATCGATCGAGTTTATGCGATATATTCTGATTTAGTTGTTCATTTTGGTCATTCTCCTCAGTGTTTTTTTTTTGAATATGAATGCAGTGATTTCTTTTCAAATTCAATTTTCGCATTTTTTTGAATTCCGCCCTCTGTGTGCTGAAGAAGTGAGAAAATATAATTTTTACGGAGTTTGGAAAATAATTAATGAAGTTTCCTCCATAGAAGATAAAAGAATTGTGAATATTTGTATGTGAATGAAATGATGATTACTAATCGTATAGAGTGCTAACGTAGGATCAATGAAATTGATCCGTTGCATCGGTTCGTTTGTGAATGCAAAGTACTTTATGAAGCGATTGAATCGTTTTAGGGAAATAAAGACGAGTTGGAAGATACGCTTTCGTCCACATCGTCGTTGTCGAGTGGCACAAGTAATCCATCAGCAGAGAACGATGGCTATATTATGTTCGGTCCAAAAGGTGAATTTGGAAGACAACAGTCACAGCAGTCACAAGCCAATATCCAGTCACCGAAGATGCACGACTTAGACAATATCGCAGATGGAGCAGTGTCGGATTCTGAAGTGGATCGTCACAGGAACGCACCTCAACCGGTAATTTGGTTCTGAGATTCCCCGAGAATGGCTCATGTCGATTGAATCGTAGTATATACTTAAATTCCTAGGCTTTATCGCCTTCACGATAAACAGAAAAGAAAGTGCACAGAGCTCAGTTATATATCAACGAATTCATTTGAGTGATTTCTTATTGTTAATCATCCCCTCAATCTGATCATTTTTAATTAATGGTGTGATATATGTGGAATGTAATTGATGAATATGGTTGTTCTGTGTTTTTAATGTTTAATTTTGGTGTTGTTTTCAGCACGGAAGTGATGTGACTGAATGGAAATGGGGTGAAATTCCGAAAACGCGAGACGACGAGAAGGCCGAAAAGGAGTTGAGAGCATCGGCCGCTCAGAAAGCTACTGAAAAGACCAAAAAGGAGGTGGGTGTTTTTTTTCGTTTTGTTAATATATTACGGATAGTTCTTATTTGTGAATCCGATCATTCAGCGGTAACTTTAAATAATTGAAATATAAGCATAGCTGGCTGGCAGCATGGAACCTAGCAATGGTGCGATTAGGTGACTCAGTATTATGCTTATATCCTAGGCTCTTATGATCTGAAGTCAAATTTTTATTATCAATTTCCGTTTTTGCGATGTGTTGAGGTTGTTGATCTGTGGTGGTGGTGATGCTTGATCGGTTAGAATTCTAGGAAACATCATGGAGCGATTGGTTCCGCTGGTCGAAGCCGAAGCTGACTGAAGATCAAGGAATCTATTTGGATGATCTGGTGGAAAATTCTTTGCACGATCCGAGTAAAATTGAAAAATATCTCGGCAAATCCTCATCAGCTTGGTGTGTTTCACAATTTGTTGTTGTTGTTTCATTCATTCTGCTTGTTCTTGTAAGATATTTGATAGGTAATTTTTTGTAGTAATCCAGTATTACAGAATTATTTGTGGATTTCGTATGATTGTAATCCTTGAACGGTACCATTTATCGGATTTGACGAGTAATTGTTTGTGTGCACAAACAAGAGAAAGTATTTTTAAGTGTTGTTTTATCGTGCGAAATGTTCCTGAAAAATATTGTATCATTGATCAGATATCACAATACACAAAAGTGTAATTACATTGTTGTTGTGTTCTTCAGTCCGTCGCCTCCGTATGACAGTGGGAATGCATCGAGCACTGCAAGTTGCGCACCAAATTCACCTCAGTCGTTGAGTGTCGATACCGACGAACCAGCAACTGCAAGAGAGCCATCAAAAGAGGCGTCAACTGCTCGAGAAGATAAAGTACTGAACGATTCAGTTCTCCTTTAATACCTACAAAAATATTTTAAATGAATTGATTTCATCAAGTCGGAAATGATTTCTTGATGGAATGGTTGCAAAAAATCATCCGTTCGTAAACATGTAACACATAGTTGCAGACACCAACTGAAGAGCATCCTCCTGAGAATGTTCATCCATCTAAAGATTTAACCGATATTGTGGGACAACATCAGCCCCGTCCCGTATCGTCCTCTGAGAATCGACAAGAAGAAACAATGAAAAAATTGGACAATGGGCGTAAAAGGCGACAGAGTGGACGGAGCACTTCACCATCTAGTGATATTTTGTGAGTATCAGACGTATATTCATTTATTTATTTCTATGCACGCGAATAAGCATTTATATGATTGGTTTGCGATCACTGATCATTTCAAAAGACAATTATTCAGAACTTGATCAGTTTATTCAGAATTTTAACTATCGTGAATTATGATCAGTATTCTTTGCGGTGACAATTATCATTGTTCTGAAAGTTTTCATTTCAAATGTTGAAGATTAAGGCATTTTTGTAGTGCGATGAGTGATGAAGAGACAAATATACCTGGTACATCGTCGCCTCCGCACACCGAAGACGTCACCCAACAACAGAGCCCAACGTATATCCGCTCGTTGAGGCTTCCGTCTGAGAAACTGAAAAAACTACCACTGAAGAAGGGTGCGAATGAGGCACGATTTTCCATCACTACAAAATTTCAGGTTTGTTTATTGAAGTTTTAATGCAATGTGATCAGTTGTTCATACGAGTGTCGTATTGGTTTTAAATGAGATGTATTATTTAGAGCATCGATAATATGTAGGTATATGGGTATAAGTGGCATGAAAGAAAGAAATAAAGTTACGAATTTGCAGGGAACATGTTGGTGCAGTTGTCATATATATTTATATCGATGGTCTGAGCAGTTGGTGATATCGGATATAGACGGAACGATAACGAAGAGTGATGTGCTTGGTCATGTGATACCAGCGATTGGTGGTCAGTGGGCTCATGCAGGTGTTGCTGAACTCTACACAAGGATTGCACACAACGGGTCAGTTACTTCTTATCTTGTATTATTACTTTTGCAATCAGATTCAACAACAATGGTAATGTTTCCTTTTAATTGAGATATTCAAGTTAATTTGATGGTAAATGTTTCGATCATCGAAGAATATCGATTCATCGAGTGAATAAAACGTTCCTTGTCTTCTAACTACAGCGCAGTATATAGGAGAGTAATGAGTTAATGCATTTTCAGTTATAAAATGGTGTATTTGTCTTCACGTGCAATTGGTCAGAGTTATTATACAAAGAAATATCTGCAAAGTATTGCCCAAGATACACGAGTTTTGCCTGACGGTCCTCTACTTTTATCGCCCACATCAGTATTGATGGCTTTTCGAAGGTATTTCTTTTTGTTTTTAAGACCTCTCGATCATGCTTCTGAAACTTTTCAATTCAGCGCGTATGATAATCTTTAAACTTACTTAATCTTTTAATCAGTTTTGATCGAATTAATCGTCTAATATTCGTTGGTTTTTTAAGGGAGGTAATCGACAGATGCCCAGAAGATTTCAAAATCGCTGCGTTGAGTGATTTGAAGGAGTGTTTCCCTGTTGAACAACCGTTCTACGCGGGTTTCGGCAATCGACCCAATGTAATTCATTTCGTTTCGATTAGTTCGTAGCATTGCAGGTGTTCGTCTAAAGTGCTGTAATATTAAATTTCAGGATGTGATAGCGTATCGCCATGTTGGTGTCCGACCGGATCGTATTCTCATCATCAACAAAGAGGGTCGTGTTCGTCGTGAGGATGGAATCGGCTTCGAAACGTCGTACATGTCAATGGCACTGGATATTGTTGATTATATGTTCCCTCCGCTAGTCACACAACCGAAACATCTTAATTTAGCCGTCGAAGCGGATAACGTGGGAAGGAAGATCTATCGACTCAAACAGTCTTTTCCGGAGGCTCTCAAATTCAGGCAATAATTTGACTTCCTTCCATCTTGTTAAATGTTCATTTTGTTTGGAAGCATTCATGATGTTTTTATTGTTTTTTTTGCTTTTTTGTATATTAGTGAAGCATTATCAATGCTGTCTCTTTGTTGCTATCAGTTGTCACCGATCGGTATGAAAAAATTTTTCAGTGAATTTACTCACTGGCGTTCAGAACCACAGAAAGTATTGAGTACAGAGATGGATTATTCGAAGTATGAGGAGAAACGGAAACAGTATACAGAACGAAAGAAGACGGGAAGTGTCACGAAAAAGTGATCGGTTCAACGTTCATAAAATTGGTTGGCAATAAAAACAATCGTTCTCTGGAAGAAGATTGATTTGTTTATAAGAAGTCCGCTGAGGTATCAGCCGGTATCGAGTTAATTAAATAGTTGTCATTTTTATCGTCGGAATCATGTTCTATCTATGTATACATATAAATATTCCATTATTATTATTTTATCACCACATATTTTATTTGATTACTGTTGATTTTTTTAAATTTGATATTGCAATCGATATTTTTTATTACCGTCATTGTTTTATCATTATTGGAACAGATTGGTTTGCCTGTATATATTCTATTTTCTGAAGCAAATGTGTTGCTCTTCATCTATTTTCGAAGTTTTCCTTTAGTCGTTATGAAGATCGTTAAGAAAATAAGTCTCGTCCGATGTAAAGGTCTTCGAGGTTAGAGAAAAATTTTGGACGATTTTGTTTACTTCTCATTGTTTTCTGATGTTCTGAAGATTTTATTAAAATCTTCATTCGTTTCCATTCAGACCATGATATTGAATTATTTCGTGTGAGATTCATCGATTTCTCGAAATGGTGTAGTGAATCTGTTAATCATTCCCGATGGTGTAACTGATTTTTACGCGTGATTTTCGATAAGCGCTTTGGTGCCCGAACTTTGTCCCTACAGAGATGTAGAAAGCATTCTTATTCTAATGATTGGACACCAATATCTTCCTGTGAAGCGCTTTTGTTTCATTATACGTACTCATTTGTTTTTTTTTTTCGATTATTTTTTGCCGAGTGTCTGTTCTGTTCTGATGATATATTAAAATTCTGAGCCTATTTTTGTTTTCTTTCGTTTTTTTTNTTTTTTTTCTTTTGAAATTCTATTGTCTTTATTGATTGCTGGCCTCCATTGATGTTTCCTTGTGTTATCGTTATTATTGCTATTTTTTGAATTGTTTTTGCGCAAATTATTAAAATTGAAGTCGATATAATCTCAGTCAGAGTTGTTCATGTCGCATCCATTTCTGACTACGTTTCAAGTGATCCTCATTTCATATTCTCTTCACTGTCTGTTGTTTCTTGTGTCATAGAGAGTTATTTGGATCACTTTGAGTTATTATTTGCAATATTTTTCACAAGCATTGTTTCCTTTCGATTCACCTATTTTATACATTCATTTGTTTCGTGCAAACTTTTGTGTGTTGTTCATTATTTCAGATTCCTCATTCTACTAGTGCTTGATTGGTTTTGCTGGTTTCTTCGTACATTTTAAAACTGTCTTCATCGTCGTTCTCATTTCATCTCAACTTATCACTAAAATGACCTCATTCTCTCGAGTTTTCGATGAATTTCATCGCATCCTCGCAATATATCTCTAATTTTTGGTTTAAGCAAGCGAATATTTTACGTACGTCAATCGAGTTTGGTGTTGTGCCGGTGAACAGCTTGCATCAAGTGCATTCAGCTGAATACAGTCTGTTAATCCTGTAATATGATTTACTAAATAATTCCCTAAAGAATGTTCTCTTCCAACAGTCTTCATGGTTTCATCTTAATCGAATTGTTCATGACTCTGAAGTATGCGTGGTAGTGATGCTCAAATCTGAGCGTTGGAGAATAAAATTTATTTGGCGAAGTGAATTTGAGGTTATAGCACATTAATCAACATGAAAATGGTTCGATCAAGAAATCCTTTACACGTAGACGCAATTGAGTGTGGTGCGAAGGTAGAGGCAAGCAAATGGGCTATTTGCTACGAGCAAATCTACACTAAAGCCAAGATGGAAATGATCTCAGCAGGCTTAAGTGATGGTCGATGAAGGCCAAATGTATAAATGCAATGTGCTTGCAAACAAAAAATCGGTAATGTACAGAAAGTAGCGAGTTGGGACTTTGAGGTATCATGGTGATTCGAGGATTCGGTACAGTGAGAAAACAGATCCATACGATTTTCGGATGAAACAGGCGTAGTGTTCTTTGCTTTCGTTCTGGAGAAGATGTCGTAATTACTGTGCTCCCAAATGAAACAATGAGCACTTTCAGTAAGAGTTTGACGTTCGAATACAAACTGAAAAAAAATCGTTTCAAAAGCGATTTTTCGGAACATGTCACATTAGAACAACTTTAATACAGCTCACCAAAATGTATTTCGTAAGGTGCACATACAAAGGTTACGCTAGCCTCGGTATGAACCACTCACATATTGATGTTTTTACATCATTCAATCGTGCAGAATATTGGCTTTGAACAAACGAAAACTCTGCCGGAAAATTCTGCCATTACGAGGAGGTAGAGTTATTTTCCTGATGCTATAGGGGTTAGCACATTCAAACCTACCGTACCC